AAAATTAAAAAAAAATAATAATGATAAATGTTTTTATAAAATAAAAAAACTCAAAACTATTAATGAACTAAAAGAAGAAAAATAAGCTTTCTCCTTTTGGTTCACATTTTAATAGGAACAGATAAACTATGAATAAAAATAGAGCAATAATGAAACTACATATATATACAACTTGTGTATATTTATGGCATTCGCTTTGTGGTTTGAGCGTGTAACCATTGAGCCCCTACAGCAATGTGTCACAATGCTCTAGAGCAGGAGTCTCCAAACCTTTCAGCCCACGGGCCATATTGGCTCTTTCACGAAGCTTCGAGTGCCAAGATCCAGTTAATTCATCATACCATGGCAATGCAACTATGATGACCAGCGTACTAGTTTTTAAACAAGGCAGTGAGATTTTTGTGATTGGATCCATGGCCTATGATCTTACGAAAAGCCTTGTTTTTTATACTTTCATGCAATTTCACATAACATAAATTTCTTTAAGCTGTTTTTAAACATTTACAAAAAATAGCATTTTGTCCCAGAATATCAGAGATTTCTTCAGTTTAGTATGTACTTTACATTTCAATTGATTTAACAGTGCATTTTGTTTACCTTTTCATCAGGTGCAAAATTTTGCTCATAAGTATTTCATATTTTGAGCAAGTTTTGTGTGGGGAAAAAAATCTCCAAAATTAAAATAAATTACAACATATATAGAACAAGAATTAAGATTTAAATAAAATCACTACTGAAAATTTCTCTGAACCAACTTTGAATACTATCAAAGTAAGAAAGATTACACACGAAACTTTTATTCTTGTAATAAGTACAATGAGAATTTTTTATTTCCTTGTACAAAGTAAGGGAAGTATTGCAATCATGAAAAATTTCAGATATCATATTTCAATGAAACTATTTATTTTGACCGCTCTCGAATCCATTTGAACGATTTTTTTTTTTTTTTTTTCCCTATGACATCTGTACATACAGACAGAATAAAGGAATCTTTTTCCCAAAATGAAACTAAAATGGATTCATAAGAGATTTTTTCATGATGTCTGTATGTATGTATCTCGCATAACTCAAAAAGGAACAGCCTTAAAACATTGAAATTTAGTATATGGTACTGCTATAACATGTAGTTGTGCACCTCCCTCTTTGGTTGCAATCAGCTATATATAGCTATCCACTCTGTTACCCGACTCAGTGAGCTCAGGTTTTTTTTATGTTTGTAAATGGTGTGTGAGATTTTTGCTTTCGAAGTGACTCAGTTATGTTGTTCTTATATTCTGATTAAGGTTTTTATAACTTTAATTAATCTGCATGCAATAGTTGTAGAATTATCAATAATTTAAAAGTTGTTTAAGTACTACTAAGCCTATCAAAGTCGCCATTTGCTCTTGTTTTGGTTGAACATGTTTTGAGTTTTTATGTATTTACCTCGTCACCAAGTGAGAACTGAATTGACTGAATGAGAAATATATCTGTAATGATATTCAAGGAAATAAGTTTAAATGAAGTGCAGTAAAAAATGTATATAACTTAAAGGACATATGAAGAAGTCATTGTGTCCACATGAGTTTTTTTTATATAGAGTGCTATTGTATTTCACTCATGGGAAATTTAGAAACAGTTGTATAATGTTTATGTTTTTTAAAGAATGTGCATGATAGGTAACGCATTTCTAGATTGGCTGTTACATAAAACAGTTGATGTGTATGTTATTTGTTACTCTAAATTTTACAAAATTATTTTAAAGAGACCTTTTGCGGGGCGGATCAGAGGTGCTCGAGGGCCAGATTTAGCTCTCAGGCCGTAGTTGGAGATCCCTGCTCTAGAGGCTCAGTGGTTGCACCCTGAAATTATTACTCTTCACAATGGTGACTGCTGCTTTCAAATAAGAATGTTTATTTTTACTCAGATATAGATAAGGAGCTCTTAAACCACAGTGTTATTTTATTACTAACCAAGACATGCACCTGCCCAGTGAAAATGTCTTTCACTTCCAGAGATTTTTCTCTGAGCTCAACATGCTTACTTCCTATGCTAAGCATTGTGATTTTATAAATTATTTTGTGTAATTTAAATATAATGTAAATATAGTTTTCTATAATTAAAAATAGAAATCATGTTAAAATCTTATATAAATTTTAAATACTTTTAATAAATATTTTAGGACGAAATACGAATAAAATAAATATGAATGAGAAAGATAGGATCTGTACCAAAGCCAAAAAGTCCTAGGCTGCCTTCTCCTATTAACATAAAAAACCAACAACTTCATCTGCCAGATAAAAAGAGACTAAAGAATGCTGGACATATGCCAGTAAGATGCAAATCACAGCCATGTACATTTTGTAGCACAAGGGAGAAACATCACAGAACAAGATATATGTGCGAAATATGCAATGTTGGTCTATGCATGTACGAAAAAGACAAAACATGCTTTGAACAACTTTACAAAAAAACTTTGTTCTTTGACATGATAATAATAATAATAATAAACCTCAGGTTTTTTTTCATACATATATGTATATATATATATATTTATTTATACATATGTTAAGGTGAAACACCGAAATCTGGAGAATGTCGACTTTCACCGGTGAACGTCAACATTCACATAGTCGCTTGGTGTATGTCCGAAATATTTTCCAAATACTCTTATTTCTGACTTACACCAGTGAATGTCGACATTCACTATGTACTAATGGTGAATGTTGAACATATAAGAATATTATATTTCCTTCTCCGTAATTCATTCGCGAAAAAACGCACTTTAGACTCAGAATAAGAACATAAGAACTTAAAACACACAGTACATTCAAAATGAGAAAGGAAAATTATAGAAATTATAAAATTACGAAATTATGTGATTTAAATCTTATTTATTGCAACAATTTAAACTATTATGACACTTTGATATGCACAAGAGGCCCTTGTTTTTACAACTGCATTTATTTGTGGAACACTTCCTTTTGGAATGGCAGCGTGCACATATACTCCTCTCTTTTCGACCTACACCAGAGCATATCTGTGATTGTCGACATACACCAGTGAGGGTACGAATGTACAAGAATGTAAAGAAATATTCAATCTTTCACCGACGTATTTGGTGAATGTTGACATTCTCCGGTGAAAGTCGACATTCTCCAATTTCGGTCTTTCAAGGTGACATATATATTACTTAACTGAGTTTTTTTTTTAATCTGAATGCCCTTATTATGTACACTCTTATGTTTTCACTGCTATAGAAAAATAACATAAACATTCACTTCTTCATTTTTTCTGAACAATTTACTTTGTAAAATAATGCAAAAAAATTTACATGTAATGCAATTCCTAAATGCAATTTGTTTTTAATTTGCAAGTTTCATCATTTATTAGAAGTGCATGTGGAAAATGGTAAGTCCTCCCCCCCCCCATCTACCTCAGTAAGTTTCAATGTCCTTGACGTGCGCTGGTTTCACAGTGCGACCACCACCCACAGATCAATGGGCAAGAGTAGATTTTTTAAAATTCATATATTTATTTGTTTTTAGGATTATAATATTTTATTTCTAGGGTTTTTTTTGTTAAAACATTATAAAAATAATATCATGTGCATTAAAGGGTTAAGGCAATACCTTCATGCAGCTTTATTGCATCTGGCACACATAGATAATAAGATACATAAGATATTCTTTTCTTTTTTGGCATAAAATGATACTTACTGTTACACAGTACCTATTTCCTAGAATTATAACACTTAAGTGCACGATTATGGATTTTTTATTATTATTATTTAAGTGTTTGAAAAAATATTTTTAAAAATCACCAGAGAAAAACTATCTTTCTCATATATTGTCATATACATTCTTAATAAATATTTTCACAACAATAATAATGCTAGTTGAAGGCCCAACAAATATTATACAATAATGATGCTAATGAAGTTTTGGCAAATATTATATTCAATACTAGTGAACTGTGGCCAAAGCAAAATGTATAGGTTTCACATACACCTGAAATGAAAATGTATAAAAATACTTCAATACAAATGAAATCAGCTCATTCTTTCCAAGCAACAAGCAATTTGTAAATAGTTTTTTTTCTTGCCAATCCAGGAAACAAAAACTTTTGACACATCAAGTAATATGTATATGCATGATGTCATGATTTAAATTTAATGAAATATAACAACTTTTTCTAAATATCAATAAAAGAATTAACATGGCAATAAGATATCCTGTCGTTATCCTAACCTGAAACAAAAGAAGTTGCCAACAGCAGCTTTTTATTTAAAATGGAAAACGTTTCAACAAACAATGACATCACATGTAACTGCATGCTTTCTTCAAATGAAATGACAGAATGTGAGAATGTGACCTTATATAATAATAATAATATATTTAAAGTTTGGCAACACTATTTTTATTTCAGATTTTGTAAAACTTATAAATTTTTCATTAACAAACTCTAGGATTTGAAAGTGAGGAGTTGCAACACTTTTTAAAGTAAAGCATATTTTTAACTTCAGCCTACATGACTGTTGCCACTTGTGAAAATAACATTTTCCGAGTTTATAATTAATATTTTGGATGATTAAAGTCGTATGAAGATGAAAATGGTTGAAATGGTTTCCCACAAATTTTTGGAATTGGGAATAATGCATTTAATATTTGGGAATGATATTTTTATTTCATATTTTGTAAAACTTCAAAATTTTTTTAAGAAATTCTATGATTTGAAAGTGATACTTTTTGAAATAAAGCTGATTTTTATATCCAACATGCGAGACTGTGGTCATTCAGAAAAATAAGGGCAAAAGTTAGAATTTCTAGAGTTTTTAATTAATATCTCGGCTAATTAAAGTCATACAAAGATAAGAATGGTCAATATGGTTTCCCATCAATTTTGATTCCAGAGGTACTTTACTCAAAACTCAACTCCACTGGAGATTCTGGAGGAGATAATGCCACAAACAAAGAGACAGATAAACATACACAGATTTTAATAGTACAGAAGATACTTACATCACAACCACAATCTCTGTCATCTGCTGGGGCACCATTAAAATACCTAGGAAGGGCGAAATATTAAACATTATTATACATGCATTTTCAAGGAAAATTATACATCAGTAAAATAAAATAAAAAATAGTAACAAAAAAAAAAAAAAAAAAAAAAAAAAAAAAAAAAACGCTCAAAAATTCAATTTGCGCTTTTTCTTTTATTAATAAAAAAGATTTCAATATTATGTCAGTGTTGCTGTGCAGTAAAATACTGAAAAAAACCATTGCTTCTTAATAGTTTACCATTAAAATATAATACTTCTACATATGTTTACAACATAAATCTACAATACAATACCTGTTTAGAAAAACTATACCACTTTTCTATTCAAATGGAAAAATGCTAAATGCAGTTTTTATTTTTTTAAGCAATCTTAATACCCATTTTCATGAATCATAAATACTTTTCTCTAATTTTCCTTGATAATGTTGAACAAGCTGAACTTTGATTTTTTTTTTTTTTTTTAAGATTAAACTTTGCAAAAAGAAAATGTCAGAAGAGGCTAAATCAGCTGCAAAGGGAAACTAGAAATACACCAATGTAAAACTTGAAATTAGGTAAAACATCAAGCTTATTTTATAATTTTGAAATAGCAAAAATTTAGAGAACCAAATATAATAAAATTATTAAAGCCTGTCACCTACGATGGTTAAGCCATATATACAAGTATGGAGACGAAAACATAGTGAAAAAATCGACATTCCAGAAGCCAAAGAGAAAGAGAAGAAAGGGGAAGATCATGGACAGGGTGGTTAGACAATATGGAAAAGTGGTTAAAGACCATTGGTGCCAATAACTGGAGGATTGCGGCATTGGTTGCATGAAGATGGCAGAAACTGAGAGACAACCTTTGAAAATCAGTGGTAGAGCAAAACACAATGAAGAAAGCAAGCTTATTCTGACATAGATTTAAAATAAAACTCTACTGGTTTCAAGAGCAATCAGATATAAGTCCATTATTTTCAGCGATAATAAAATTCACAGTTTTATTTAAAATTTATGTCAAAATAAGGTTACTACTTAATTTACTTAATTTGAAACTGGTTTTTTTAATTTTGGTTTACTTAAGTTGAAAACAATCCAGCAATTTTCACCTCAAGATTTTCAGCCACTGTTCAAGAGCTGATTTTTGAGGAAAGAATCAATATGGATTACGCTGGCATTTGCGAAATAACAGTTTGTGTTTGAATTTTTCCAAGACAAAGATATATTTTAATACTACTGAAATGGCATATCAAAGAAAAATCATGCAGAAAAAGAAAGGTTTACAGAGAGAAAAGCGGTTTGCAGGTTTGTACGTTCCTTTCCTGACAGCTCAATTTAATTTTGGCGTTAAGAGCTCAGATCAGTAAAATTCTGTCAGCTGAAACTAGAATGAGGAACTTTCTAAATCAGGACCTTGCATGTCAAATATTCGGCTATATCTCAATGTGAAGTATCCTCAAACTTGTTTTTATGCACTCCTTTTTGTGCTGTTTATTTTTCTGCATAATTTTTATGCAGTATATGAAGAAATTTCATCAAAATGCATACAAGGAAAAAGTAACAAAAACAGTAATTTAAGAAGAAAGCAGATGTCTGATAGTGTAAAAAATAAAACAAGCAATTCAAAAGGAAACCAACAGATGGCCCACCTGATATTACATCATCACATTGCAAAAAAATAATATATACAGTGGTGGCCAAAATTGTGGACACTTTTGGAAATTTTTATGTTTTTGAACTTTGTATCCTTATAGAAAATGTTATGTTTTGCAAAATGCAAACTTGTATATATCATTTTAAAGAGAATTTATTACTGAATTCAATACAAAACACAAAATTCAATTATTTGCAATAAAAAAAAGGTATATGTACTTTAATATAAATAAAAAACACAGTTGTGAAGTGGTTTGTAATGTCTAGCTTTCCTGGCCAATCACTGTTCTTGTTCTGAGAACCAATCAAATGTTAGTAACTACCAGTAGAAGCTGACATCATGTTTACACTTGAAACAATTTATTATTTTGCTTTGTTCTGTAGAAGGAGGACTGGTTTCTTATACACTGCAATTACAAGTAGGAATTTTTGTAAAAATTTTTAATATTTAGTCAAGAAGCAATGACATCAAATAAAAGAGTAGATAGGACACCTAGAAAGAGATGTAATATTATTGTGTTATGAGAAAGTGGTCTTTCCTATGCTGAAATTGCAAGATAGGTGGGTGGTTCAGTGACTACATCTGGAGTCCGAAAGTTTTGTTTACGATATCAGGAGACAAATTCAATAAAAAACAAAGAATGAAAAGGCCGAAATAGGTGCACCATATCTATTGATGACAGAAGAATAAAAAGACTATGTCCCCAAGATAGAAAAATGTCATCAGCGGCCATAAGTAATGATCTGAATGATGCTGGTGTTTCTGTCAGTTCAAGAACAATTAGGAGAAGATTAACAGATGTTGGACTGAGAGGTAGAATTCCACGAAAGAAGCCTTATCTTAATTTTCGGCAACAGAAAAAAAAAAGACTACAGTGGGCAAAGGAACACATAATTTGACAGATGATTAGTGGTCACAAGTTATATGGAGTGATGAAACTAAGATATCGTTATTCGGTAGTGATGGGCGAAAATATGTAACTCGTAGAATAGGAGAAGAGCTACATCCTGACTGCATTCAAGCAACTGTGAAGAACCCAGTTAGTGTTATGATTTGGTCATGCATGTCAGCAGATGGTATTGGTCACCTTCATGTCATCAATGCCAGAAAATACATTGACACTATTCTAGAACCAAAACTTCTACCTTCCATCAGAGATCTCTTTCCCAACAACGCTTCGTTTATTTTTTAGCAAGATTCTGCTCCTAGCCACACGGCCAAAATATCGAAAGAGTGGTTTCGTACAAAGAGCATTAAATTGTTGTCATGGCCAGAAATTAGTCCTGACCTCAATCCTATCGAAAATTTGTGGCACCGTTTGAAAACTCTTGTCCAAATGAGGCGCCCATCAAATAAAAGGGAACTAATTGAGGCTATAATTGTTTCCTGGCATCATGTAATAATGAAAGAAGAGCTTAAAACTCTCGTCAGCTCATTGAAACATCAATGTGAAGCTGTAATCAAAAATAAAGGGTACCCTACTAAGTACTGATAACTCAATCATCACTATTTAATGTATATCAATAACTATTATCGTTGAACTTTTTTTGTATTGCAAATAGTTGAATTTTGTGTTTTGTATTGAATTCAGTAATAAATTCTCTTCAAAATGATATATACAAGTTTGTATTTTGTGAAACGTAACGTTTTCTATAAGCATACAAAGTTCAAAAACATAAAAATTTCCAAAAGTGTCCACAATTTTGGCCACCGCTGTATATATATATATATTGTGTATATATATAATAACTAAAGTTTAAAAAATGTTTTCCATTTTGGACTCCATAAGATACTTACAACCTTATAACCACCAATACGCAACCACCTTGGCACAATATGGTAATCTTTTACTGATGATAAAGAATGATAACATCATCATTCAATGCAACTGCAAAAATATGCTTAGTATATTTTTATTGTATTATGCAGAGACAACTGAAGATTTCGCGCCCCTTACTGCTTGCCAAGGATGGAAAACATTTAATTCTAAAATGTCGTAACATCAGTTTGGCGCCCCTTGGATTCTGCGCATGGGGACAGATGCCCCCTTGCCCCCCTCTAGCTACGCCCCTGTATCACTTTCAGATGCTATCTGGCTCTTATTCAGAATTGAAGTGTGTTGTTTCATTTCGCTAATTACCACAGCGAGATAAATGAAGGGTACTTTTATATTAATGCAACCATTTTAGTAGATATCGCTAAACATAAAATATGCCAAACTCTGGCAACCAAATGCCTAACCATTCTTCTGGCAACCATCTTCATAACAATCCTTCAATGAAATAATGCCACCATTCTCAAACGTGCTATTTTTTGTTGTATTCCAAGTTCTGATGTTTTTATAAGCAAACTGTCATCCTCCCCCCAGTTTCAAAATATCAGGTTATGGAGTTTGCCAGCAATGGAAGAAACAATACAGTCAAAAGTCGTTAATCCGGACTTGTCGGGACTTCGGCAATTCCGGATTATCGATTTTTCCGGATTATAGATCATCAGTTTAAATCTGGTAAGATGGCATGCAGAAATTATAAAAGTAAAAATATGAAACCGTAATTTCTGAAATAAAGAACAATTATAATCTAAAGGGTATCAAAATTTACAAAAAAGAAAGCTTAATATTTATTTGTTTACTTTATTAAACATTTCTTTTAATGTAAGTTGTTTCGTGTTATGTGATAATACTTTCTCTTTAATTCTATAAACAGACATAATTTCTTCTTCAGTTACAAAGTTCCGCTGTTCAAGTCCTATAATTGCTGTGTCGAGAATACCGACTAATTCGTCAATCGAAATTTTTTCGTTTTCAATAACCTCTTCACTATCGGAAGCGAATTATAATGATGAGGAATTTGATTTAAATCATATCAAAGATGGAGTACATCGAGATGAAATACTGCATTTAGTAAGGAATTATAAGCCAAATAAAATAAAAACATCTACCTTGAAGATAAGGATAGTGCTGACAGATCAACTTCCAATTCATTGCACGCCGCGGCATTTCCCCTCCTCTCGCCGCAGAGCAGCAGGAAATTGATAAACAGGTGTTTCGGATTGGTTAGAGAAACAAACCTTTATCAATTTTTTGAAGCAATTCCACTTTTTGTTTAATGGACTTCGAAACATACTTTCGCTTTGTAGATCCTTTACATATTAGTAAATATATATCGGAAATTCTATTTGACATGATCGAAAGTTAAGCTTACTTTTATAAAATTGCTCTAACAGTCTGCAAAAATTAATAAGCCAGATCCAATTCGAAGATTAAGGAACAAAGCAATCTGCAACATTAACTGATTTAGATAATTTTAGCTTAGCTTATACCATCTGTTATACATTAAACGCACATGTGTAAACATATTATCCACAT